ATACCTGCGCATCAGTGGGTTCATGAAGGCATGGTACTGTTGAGAAAGGCCGAGTCTAGAACCAAATCCAATTAAAGCAAGTTCACCGCAAAACGATCAATTCACCCAATGGCCAACGCCCCTGATCATCCCTGATCTCCTCAACTAGTCCGGCCAAGCGCAAAGGGCACCTTATTTTGAACATTTTTGAACCATGGTCTACCATGGGTGCGCAGGAAAATGGCATAGCACATGCAATATCTAACCGCTGGACATGCCCCTGCCAACTGTACTATGCGGGGCTATCCAACGCTTGAACTGTACATTCCTCGAATCTAAATGACTGCAGGGCTACATTCGCTTCACAAGTCACCTTTGCAGTCTAATTTCCCCTGCCCTTCCAGCTCCAACCGTCGCTAAGAACAAACCAAACCAATGTGAAGATACTGAGAAAACAAAACTCAAAGCTACGGGCCGTGGGGCATTGCACTCTTTCGGTGATTTTACACCTCAGGAAGTTACTTACGTCAAAGCACCTCGACCAAGACCTCAAAGCGTTTGGTGGCTTCATCTATGGCGACCAGAAGGTCCCAAGTCTCCTTGTCCTTCTGGAGGGGGCAGCAAGGGTGCCTCGGTTGCCGGTGCGGCCCCGGAAATCCAGCTTGTTAGAGCCCTGCAGGTCATGTGTTCTACGGTGTTCTCCGGCCCTGCTGCTTGGCGTTTGGCAGGCCGGTTGCTGTATATGACACCACTAGTGACACGTTGAAATTTAGGGGGTGAGGTCGTGAGTCAGGGTCATGACAGTCATGTTGTAGAAAAAACGGCGGTTATGCGGCTCTGCAGAATTGCACCTCCTACAAAATGACCTCTAAAACATCAGCGAAAAACCTACAAATTTGACAAATGAGTCATTTTGTAGAATTGAATAAGTGCGCGCGTGATTCATCTACAAAATGATGGGTTGTCCCACAAATCTCAGTAGTCAAGGTGCCATTTGGTAGAGACACATATTTCCCCCCACAAAATTACATCTCTTCTACAAAATGAGACCAGTTTTGTCATTTTTGACGTCGCGTTTTTCTCTACAAAATGGCTGGTTTGGCCAGAGCCTTCAAGAACGCTCTTTACAAAATGACGTGGTAAGTAGATAGGGGTGCCATTTTGTAAGGACCAAAAATGGGTTGACTACAGAATGATCGCTCTTTATAGTGGCCTCAAGGCCCACCATTTCATAGAAGAAATTCTAACGGGGATACATCTGGCTGGAATGAACCTACTAGAAACTTGTACAATTATATATATATATATAAGTCCCGTTGGGCAATACAACTTGGCACTACTGACCATCCAATTTAGGCGTCTCTGCTTGACAAATCTGCTTGGCCAGTGGCTCCGAAAACTCATGTGCTGCCACTGCCTTGATCTCTGCGGAGCTCCCGGCTCCCACTGTGACGCGGAATCCCATGGGCTGAATGCCTGGCTAGTGATGTCAGTGAACATGGGGTTCACCAACCAACCGGAACCGCAGGATCCGCAGGATGGCCATTATTCGGAGCACCTTCGTCCGAAGTCCTACGGTGGCCATTTAGCATGCCTGTCAACCTGAAGTCAGAAGGAAGTTTCCCTGCTAAGTGAGGTCTCCCTGTGAGCCTCCCTATGAAACCAATGCATTTTACACAAAAGTGGGTGCGGCAATAGCAAAGACAAGTACAACCAACCTTTCCCTCAAAATAAGCAACTGTCACTCTCAAGATTCCCTATATAAGCGAGCCTTCCTCCCATAATTTCGCTTGTTGCTGCTTGTGGGTTGTTCCTAAAGAAGGCTAGATTCAACAACGGTCAACAACGGCAATGTCGCTGGTGTTCTTGCTAAGCCAGCTCCTACGCATAATTAGAAGAAATAATGGTTCGAACATGAGGCCGTTCTGTCCCTTATGTAGTAAATTAAACAAAACATGCCGCCCCTAATTGAACAGACCCTTCTTATGTTGTGTTTCTTTGCCTTTCCAGTCGCTGTCCCTTAATGTCTAAGCAAATTAGGGCCAGCTCTCCAAGCCTTTCTTGACCTTCTCCGGGTATTCATTCAATATACTGTATAGATTTATAACTACACGGCCTTGTTCAGTAACCACCCACTGCCCCGGAATTCCCACCTTCCGGCAAGGAAGAACTTCCACATTTGATGAAGAGCCGTCCACATCCTTTGGCCTTCAGAAAGCCACGGCAGCCCTTTCCTCTGGTCTCCTGAAGGGAATTTCTTCTGGAGACCGAAGAGATACGATACATTCACAAGCAACATCACCCCCCCAACTCCAAACTGGGCGTGCACCAGCTGTCAAGCAACCCTGGCACCAAACTGACATTCTTTCGCCTGCTGGCAACATGTGGTGCAGAATGCTGAGAGGGCTAGTGCTGGCTAGCAGCTGAGCAAACGCAGCACCCTACCCTACCTGTTCACCATCCTTTCGTAGTGGGTGCCTTTGCACTGTCGAGGGCACTCTCACTGCCTCTGGCTCGTGAGGTTTCAGATGACTTGGGCAGCAGTGCCAGCATGGCAAACAAAGGAGGATGGCATGCCCCGTTGCCCAACAGAACCTTCCAATGCCTAGGTGGTAAGGTATGCAATGTCTGGCCACGGAAGAGAATGAGATGCATAACTTTTGGCCGAATGGCAATCAGGAGCTTCCAGTGAGTCACGGGCAAGCAAGCAAAAACCATTGTCCGTGCAAGGGGGACGCCTCTTCTGGCTTCCACTGTTAATCTGCGCTCCTTCGCGAGGATCATCAGGCGAAATGGCGTCGGCCCCACCTTTGGCAAGTCCAGCTCGAACCTAGGAGAAAGCCCAAGACTTGGAGGAAAGAATGTTCACCCTTTGAAAGGTTATCAAAATGTCCTTGTTAGTTGCTGTGCGCCGGGCAACTCCACTACTGTGTGTAAGTACCTGAGAAGGGGGGGACGAAAGCCAGCAGCCGCCAGACGAGTGTCTCTTTTTCTGGCGGGCGTCGCGGCACAAGACACATGGTCGGCAGGTTGCGAGTCAGCGGTGCCGCGGATGCGGGGGGGCGTTTGTAATGGTGATTGAGGGAGCAGAGAAGCAAGCCGGGCGGCTGTGGGATAAGTTTGGTAATTATGAAAGAAGTAGTGAAAGAGAAATGCGCTACGTAAGTTGGTGTAGGTCATCATCACTTACAAGGCAATGGCATGTGTTTGTCACGCACAGGAAGGCATGCATCTTATGGAAGTTGGAAGGCGACATCAGCGTTAGCGAAAGGGAAATGCAGTCTGGGTTCGAGTGGTGGGATACCACGTGCATGCGCGCGTTCTTTATTCTTCTCTTTCTTATCAACTCTGCGCCTTTCTCACTCAGAGGCCTTGACTTTGGCACCTGCGTGTGTAGATCTTTGGGCCGTGGACCCAGGCTGACTGGATTCGGCCAGGGCTGCCAGCAAAAAGGCGACGTCATGAGCCAGTAGTACATAGAATTTATCTATCTATCTATCTATCCTTCTATCTCTATCTCTATCTATCTACGTATCTACCTATCAGCACCGGCAAGCCGGAAAAACGTTCGGTGCGTGTGGGCGCCGCGAGAAGCATCCACTCGACCGAGGACATGGTGCAAGTACAGCTTTTGCTACAAGGCAGGAACCCTATGCGGATATGTAGTCAACCTCGCAGGCAGCCCCGCCGAGATTCAGTCCAAATTCATGGAGTTGAACTCATGTCACTTTCGTGGGAACTCGTATCCTACATGCGGCTGCGGTCTGCTCTGTACTTCTGTCCCTGTCTCCTCGTCCAAATAGCCTCCAAAGCCCTTCATGATGCTGATGATGCACTACTCTGCATCCATTGCATCACTCGCATCACCAGACCACATTTTCACTGCTTTTCTGACCCTCGCTTTGGAGCGCTCTCCCCCACCAAGCTCCGGGTTCAATGTGCCTCCCCTCCCACACCCCCTTAACTCACTTCGTTCGCTCTAAAAGCTCAAGCCAAGCCTATCGGCTGGCTTTCGTTATATATATATATATATACATCAATATCTTGTGCAAACTCTGCGCAAGTTAAGCTTGATCCTGAGAAAGAAAATGGTGAAACTCGTGCGTTCAAATCTGTTCCTTGATGCATAGAGGCGATATGAAGCGATGGACAACACCAGCAACCCATCCCCACGCGCATCCGGCATCCGGCCCAGTAGCTCAGGTGATAACATTTGCTTCTCTTGCGACTCCAACTTCCGGCCGTCCACCTGTTCCAATCTGAGGACCCGGTGGGATCTAGGGATTGTAGCAAAACAATACCTGCATCTCCAAGCAGTTTGATCTCTAATGATCTCAGAATATTGGCTTGGCTGGTGATCTTTGTTCAACTCTTGGCGTGGGTCAAAAGTGATCTCTGGTCCTAAAAACCTATATATTGTATATATTTAATGCATGTCAGCACATGTCAATACTGTTGAGAACACCAACCGTCAAGCTCTCTCATGGCTATCTGCACCACCCATATCATGTCCGTTTCACCCGTCTGTGTCCAGCCCTTAGGCAGGGACGCAAGAAGGGCTTTGGCAGAGTCTTCGGGTCTTAAAAGTCGCGCCACGCGGAATTCGCGCAGTCAGAGGATTCCAACAGCACACATGTGGCAACCACCGAATCCAACCTTCCAGCGCACTTGCTCCTTACCATCCACCCGGGATGTGATCAACGGTGTGCAAGCTCCACGTGCCGTGCAACTGCAACCCAAGCTTGTTGCCGTCACGCACTCCTCAGCGGCATTGACCACCGAAAGCTAGTCTGTGTAGGAATCGGGAATCCCAAAAAATTATGGTGGCTTCACGGTTGTCTTTGTACTTGGGCTTAATTCAACCATTCATTCCCATGCTTGTAGCTTTTGAAACCAGTCTGACATAAAGGGGTGCATTCTTTTTGTGCACGCATGTGTGTGTGTGTGTGTGTTTGTCTGTGTTTGCATGGCCTTCAGTCACGGAAAGCCACCCACACAAGGAATTGTGATTGGCTCTTAACTCAGCAAGTGTCGGCCTTCTCAGGCTGATGGCAAGGTGGCACTGAGAGGAGCTCTGGGCAGCCACAGGGAATCTCAGAATCCTCAAATGGATCATAGGTGCAAAGCTTTCCCACTGGCGGCGCCAGTGGCTCTGCCCAAGCCATACCTGGCCAGGTTTGCACCAAACATCGGCGACCCAACGGCCCAAACCAGGTGTTGGCTCAACCAAACTCCAGTGAGGCAAACGCACCCTGCAAACCAAGCCTGCGAGGAAAAATGTGTTGTCCATTGTTGTCCCGTCTTCCCCAACAACCCTCCATCGAAGGACAAGACGGACACCATTGTTTGTTTTCGTCGAGGCATAATGTGTCTATGACGTGTCATATGTTTCCCACCTCGGGGCGAGTCCTCGAAGGGGTCGAAGGTGTTGGCCCTTTCTCGAGCTGCCTGACGCAGGCAACGAGAAAGGTGCCATGGCTCGAGACCCTCTCTCTTTTTGGCGCTCACGTTGCTTCGACCTGGTGGTCTCAACTCCTAGCCTGACGGTGCCAAAATACATGGAGGCACAGCTACAGAGCAACTCACAACTGAGAAACAGTCAGTCCGGCAATTGCCTCACTTCTCCTAATTCTCGTACATATATATATATATTCTCCGTTCTTTTGCACGCCATGCAGTTTCCCGGAGCCTCGACGTTTCCTTGAGGCGGGTCGGCGAACATCGGCTCATCCTCGAAGAAGTCGTAGGTGGAAATCTGAGATTGCCAGTGTTCCGTGTCAAACGCCCAGAAGCTGAGAGCCAACCAAAAGCAAGTATATAACTAATATCACCAACAAGGTAGTCTGACCGCCCCAAACTCGAATGAAAAAGAAGAGACATCAGAAATCATCAGAAATGCAAAACTGACTCCTTGCTGAACTCAAGAGCGAATTCAAGGGGGGCTCCAAGGTCTCTCCTTTGAAGCACCCGTCGTGAAGAGGGTCAAACACAGGGGGTCTCTCCTTTGCTAACCTTGCAAGCCAGGCCGCACTTTCCATCAGAGGCTCAGTGGAGCGCCTGGCCACTGGCGTGTCATCGATGGTGTTGTAGGCATTGATCTTCTCGAAGAACTCCAAGGTGGACACCTGCCAGGTGGCCACCAGTGTGTTGGACCGGGATATGGTGCCCCTTGCTGACTTTGATCATTAGGTCAGCTTGACGACTGGCTTGAGAGGGGTTCACCCCCCTCAGTTTCTACTGCTGTCTTGCACGGCTTCGAATCCTCAAGGCCAAAACGAGTGCATTCAAGGTTTGACGCAAGTCATTGATATAACTATAATTTTATTAATTTATATATATATATATGTGTGTAACTATAAAAAATATATATATATATATATTAAAGTTTATTCTTCAACTTACCAAACGTAGCTGACCGAAGGAGCGTCTCTCTGGGACCTGGTGAATTTGCTTGGAATCGGTGCCGATCCACCACACACAAGGGCTCGTAAACATTCTTTGCATATCCATGCCATTTTCTGGAGAGATGGCAAAGTCCACTCCATTTCATCCAACCCACCTTATGCACCAAGGGCTCTGAGTCGTCATACGAGTCATAGGTCTTCCAAGAGGCCACTGGAAGAACCTCCTCATCCAGCTCTTCATGGGAACAGGGCAACGGTTCAGAGATACTACCTGGGCAACCGAGCCGGAACAGGCCTTCCTGGAAAGGTGATCCAAGACGTGGGCACAGAAAGCACAAGCCTATCATGCATCAGCTGCTGCAAGGCTAAGGTTTGAGTTTGTTGTTTGGTCAAGATCGGAGAAGATATTAAGTGTCCCGATGTCCTTTTTATATTCTTTGGACTTGACTAGCCATGTTGCGTCCTAGTCCGTGAGCATGCTGCACTCTGGGGAGGCCTAGGCCACAGCAGAAGCCAACAGCCAACACCCATCAGCTCGGCCAGCATACCAAGTACACTCCATCTGTCGCGCCGCGACGTTTGTACCCAGTTGCTGTGGACCTCCATCTTCTCCGTGACCTCTCCCACATGGAGGAAAGTGTTCACGACAAAGATCTCGGCATCTCCAAAGGTCACCTCAGTCGAAGTCGTCGAGGACGGAGGATCTCCGCAGCTGCGGAGGAAAGCGCCTGTGTGGAATAGAATCTGGGTTTAACCTGACGGTCTGGGTGGTGTTTTCCGCATTCTATGCCAATCTTTAACACGAAATGCCCGGTGACCTCAACAGAGTCAATTCTCACCTGCACATCTTGACCGATTTGCACTGGGCTGCCCTGCTTCACCCTTGCTAAAGCTCACATTTTCAGGCGACAACATGCTTGTAAGATCTTGTAAGTCTCTACGAGTTTATCCGCCACAACCGCACTCTGAAATAAATCCTCGGACAGGAAAAAAACAGGCGAGTCAAAGGCAGCATGCTCTGTCTCGGCCACCTTAATTTCCAAGTCACCTGGTTGTAGCGGGTCATGGTTTTGCACATGTTGAGATGCAAAAAGCCTAGCTGGTGAACGGGCTACGTTGCCGTCTGAACCAGAGATTCTTGCCACGGATCGAACTTTGGCAGCTCCAGGCCATGTTGGCAAAGCGAGCTGATTTGCTCTTAGTGTTTCAGTGTTCTCACAGCATGGAGGTGGCTGTCCAATGCAACTTTTACCACGTTGGAGGTGCACTGTACATCCGCGTGGGTTGCCGCCATGTCAGCGGTTTGCCGCCATCATGGGTCCAACAACATTGCCACTAGCAGCTCGAGCTGCAAGTTAAAGGCCGACATGTCACAAGCATCACCTCGGGACTTTGCTGTGATGGGAGCCAGGTTGATTGGGGTTGCAAGTTTCGCTACTGTAATCAAATCGCTGTGCTGATCTGAGCTCACAGTCGGCATGCTAGGACAACATTGCCAGGTCTGTACACGTCGCGCCGCTGCGAACCAAACGAAGGTGTGGAATGGCAGCAAAGTGTATGGGCTAAGTGCTTCGATGCACACACTGGAGCATCTGTCTAAGGGACATTAAAATATGATTTCTCAGCGAGGAGTGGCCTTTGTCACCGACACGACTGTCGGTGCTTGGAAGCAAAGTTGGGAGACGCGGTCGGGTTCGTGATGGGCCGTTCGTCAGCCATTTCAGGGCTGCCCATCTCTGCTCATGCATACGCACATCCAGCCAAAGAGAATGCTTCCCCAGGTCCTGGACGAAAGTGTGTCTAGATTGCCTAGCATGCCCACGAAGCCAAGGAATCGCTCAAGGAATCTACGAGCAATATCCCACATGAAGAGTCAACTGGCCCCCCTATTGGCTTCAACCAATGGAGCGTTTGGGCCAAAAACCACCAAAAACAACGTGCGCTTGGACCACCAAGGACCAACGACCGCGAACTCCGCTCCGACGAACTCAGAGCGGCCGCATCGGTCTCCTTGTGTCCTCTTCCACCTCGGGACTTGGACTCCATGGACCGTCGCAAGTCAACAGGACTTGGAAAACCCACTGTTACAGCGTGAAACACCACTACCGTCTGTGAATGAAACAATGGTGACTGCCCGTTTAGAGACGCCCCAAGAGGGCGGGATGCCCACCCAACGAGACGATGCCAGCGAGACACCTGGGGAACCACTGGAGCCTTCACTTGCCATTTGCACTTCGATCTCGTCACATCGACGCGCTCTGAAGTCCTCAGCCTCGGTACCACGAGGTTTCGTTGGGCCTGATGCACCGGGAGAATCCAACACCGCCCCGATCGTAGCTTCTTGCTCCGTTCGCAGCAATGCCAGGAGCCCCTGGTAGCTTCTTGTTACTCGTAGTAAGGCCAGGAGCCCCTAGTAGCGTCCACCTGCCACTTATGGGACGCAAAGGTGTTTGGATTGATATCAGCTCCTTTTGTCCACCTATCTCGACGAGTGGATAGTGGTTCATGATTGGCGCCTTGGACGGAAGGGAATGAAGCTGATGTTTGATGATCTCCGGGGCTGGTGCTGTGGCTAGAGGGCCTCCTCCACATTGTGCAGCTTATTCCGAGGGGACAACGACCCAAATCCAAAGATACTGCACCAGGCACCAGTCAAGCAAGGCAAACCAAAGTTCTACTTACCAGTAAGCACAAACAAAGAGCCCTCCTCCTTCCCCTCTCACTTCTCATTTGCCTTTGAGCGTTAACCAATGTGCTGTCTTGCAGGAATATGCACTCACAGATTATGAAGTCACACAAGGAAACGACGGAGCAAAGGGCAAACCTCTGTCTCAATCTACACCCATGTGTGCTCAGAAGGAGCTGCCACACCTTCCACAAACATATGCAGTTCTCACTGAGAGCATCTGCATCATCATACCGTAATATAAAATGACAAAGTAATACATTGGAAATCCCTTGGGCCCCTTCTATATTTATAAGAGCCTTGAATTTCGTTTGTGCCACTCCGTGTTCTCACTGCGCTCCAGGCCACTCTCCCTGCTCCGCCAACTCCTGCACCGCCTGCACCCGTTCCAGGTGTCGAAGCCGCGGATTGGACAAATACTCCACCTGACCGATGTCTGCCGTGTCGAAGCCGCCCGAAGGAACGAACCAAAGAAGACCGCTGTGGGCCCTGGGCGATGTTAGACACCTTCGCCACCCAATTTTTAGGCATGTCGATGTTTTGCCGGCATTCACGGGCTTGGCCCCACAAAATACTCGTGCGAGACATGCCAAGACCCAAACGCAGGTTTGGAAGATAAAGTATGGCTCTCCATGATTTCCCATACTCCGCTCAAACTCAACGTGCTAGCTGCCTAAACCTGAAGCTCGGAAGCTCGGAAGCTTGGAAGCTCGGCTTCAGAAGAGCACGCTAAGCGAAACGATGCGAAACGACATGTATCACGTATCCAACGTGACCTTCGTTCTCCAGCTGTTGCTCTCAATCATCAGAACCGGTCGCCCTGGTCGCCTCCTGCCCCGCATGCCAAGCTTTCACAGCGCGGCGACTCCGCAAATCTGCCTGGATTGGGGCGAAGCGCGAAGGGTGGAAGAAAGCAGCTTTACTACTAGGAGCTACCAGGGGCGCTCCTGGCATCGCTACTAGGAGCAAGAAGCTACTAGTAACAAGGGCACCGCTACTAGTAACAAGGGCACCGCTACTAGTAACAAGGGCATTACTACTAGGAGCACTCCGATTGTTTGAGGCCCAATTGCATTTCCGATGAAGAGAGACTTCATTTTCTTATGGGCCCTAGGGAGGGGGGGTGACTAGGTCCCCGTCAAAATGAAATAGTTCTTTGACCCAACCCCTTTTGAATTAGTTAATTGGGAACTGGACAAGTGCAAATTGATGTTAAACATGATACTTCAATTTGCAATGAAGCCGAGTGCCTATCATGGTTTGTAGCTGGATCTGGAGATCAATTCAAGGGCCTAGGGTTAAGTAATCGTAGGGGTGGTCAAGCACTCAACCACCCAAGCATTCATTTCTGACCTGATGGTGTTGCATGGTGTTGCGGAGGATGATCCAAGTTGGTCCGCCTAAGTTCCATCCGCTCCGGGCTCTTTCCGGATTCTTTATTCTATTCTTATTCTTATTCATTCTTGCTAAATCTTGCTGACTATTGTGATGTTGCTTAGCTTTTGCTAGTGCTGATGCTTCTTCTTCCTGTTTGATTCCTTTGCCATTCCTTTCATTTCATGGCATTTCTGTCTCTCAGCAAAAACGGAAGAGCATTAGAAAACTCAGCTGTTCTGCCATCCTGAAGATTAATTCACAGGTAATCTACCTCTCGAACCTTTCAAGTCTTTTCCCTCCCCCAACTCAAAACTAATTGACTTTTTGGTGGGGAGTTATTACCTCTCTCCTGTCAGACCATGTTCTTCCTCATGTTGCAGCTTTGTTGAGGGCCCCCCCCAACATCCTATGTTTGCAATGTCGACAATTAACTGACAAATGAAAAAATGAGACTCAGTACCCCCTCCATTAAAGCTCTAGGCTGGCCCCATCGTTTTTTGCCCGTGGCTCTGCTTCCTTACAGTACTTGAAAAAGTAGGCGGCTAATGAATTAAGATGAATTAAGTAACGGACAAACTTGTACGCTCCTAGCTACTGGGACACTACTAGGACGCAGGATGGCTCACGCTTCTTCCAGGAAGCTCCCCCCGCCTGACGAACTGGCTCTGGAGCAGACGTTCCGCAGATCGCCCGAGTGAGCTGCAGAGCGGTCTCCAGGGAGATGCGATGCCCAGGGCTCACCACCAACGGCTTGCCCATCCTGCGGGTTGATGGTTGACCAATATCAAATCAATCCGGGCATCGTCTCGAGGAGACACAAAGAGAGATTGTGAGCGAGGAAGAGCTTGGCTAGTTTTCACCCCACTCTGATTGCACTGGAGAAGTCTTCATCCCTCAAAACCACAGTCCATGGGTGGCCAAAACAGGTGCACACTGTCGATGTGCCGATGCTCCAAACTCGCCGCCACTGCCCTGTCATGGCCCGAACGCCCGAGCCGCGAGTCGCCCTGCTGGGTCGGTCCTGGGCCGGAAGAGCGCCGCCACCTCGCAGAGTGACGCCCACTGGCCCGGCGCCAAGGTCAGGCTCACTCGCCGCGCCAAGGAGGAGTTCACCTCCCCAACCTGGACACCGGTCGATCACCGTGAGGCGACCGCACTGCGAGGCGACGGAGTGCGCCCATTTGGTCGAGCAATGGTCTGTTCAATGTCAAGGAATGGATCAGGCACCTGAGACCTTGGAGAATGAGACCTCAAAGATCCTCAAACCACAAGGTCCCATGATGAGCCTGATGATCCACGATTTCCGATGCATCCTCATACATCTGCATGCATGTGCATATGCATATCCCACCTTAAGCACATCCTTGGCTACACCGATGGTGGGCAAATCCACGGTGATGCCCAGATGGGTGGCCGCGCCACAGCCGCGTGGGTGGAAGGCGCCGTTCCCGTCCACAAGGACCACTTGGGGCTTCAAGGCGCATGGCACGGAGTCCATGAGCTGAGCTAAGGCTGGGACCTGCGGCAGCGCTAGCTAGGCCCAATTTGAGAGGCTGACTTTTATAAATATAAATTGATGTTCAAAGGATTAGGATGAGGATGAGGATGGCATGTGGTTTCCAAAGATTATGACTTCTAGATGCATCAAGTGATGCCAATGGACATGAAACTCCTCAAAACAAAGAAAAGGACTGTCTCAGTCTCATCACGCAAAGTGCTGCCGTGAGGTTCGTTTCCATGCATCGCAGGGATTACATTTCGACTGCGTGACCCGAGCAATTTGAACTGGTGACTTGAATTCACTTGAATTCTACACTCCCTTCCACATAGTGATCAACAAGTAAGGAATCACAAAATCAAAATCGTATGTGATTGCATGCTCAACCCGACTTCCACCTGGCCTCCCGAAAGGCCAGAAAGCCAGGTACATAGGGAACGCTCAGCCGGAAAGCGGCACTGCGCTCCCACAAGACCTTCAACCTGCCCAACACAAGGCATCTAAGGTTCAACATGTTCAGGCTGCCCCATATTGACTTGATGCCGTCTAAATGTCTAAATAATCTCCCCCAGTCACCTAGTCTTCGAGATCTTCCCGAACCACTCATTCCACAAAATCAGTGGTTGCAAAAAGTGTGCCGCCCCGGAGCTGTGGAAAGCTCAACACAACCACAGTTGCAATGGCATAGGTCCCATCTGCGAAGAAGGAGACATCCACGCCAGCGACACGGTGCAGGTCAGGAAAACCATCTTCACCTCATGATTTTGTACTCAAGAAAAGTGTTCTTATGATCTTTATGCAGGTGGCAAATGGCCCTGGCAGGGCGGTCCTGGTCCTTGTGATCCTTGTGCCTCACTTTTCTTCAGCCATGCTGCAAGACCAATCCAGGAGGTCTTCTTGGACCCTGAGTGCAGCCAAAGTCTTCTGCTCAGCTTCCCATTGCTTGCCTCAATTTCACCAGTGTGTCGGTGCAGTCTGGCAACTTTCATTGCATCTTGTAGCTCGGCCAGCTCTAGTTGAGAAAAGTGAGACTTACAAGAACTCACAGTCCCGTTCACAAGAAAACCTGCTTGTCCTCTTGCCGTCGGAAAAACTCAAAGGAATCGAGTAACCACTGTGAACATGCGGGATTCGATGCCACGTCTCAGCAGTATAATAGATAGACTACCTCCGACCCACTCTACCGATCTTCCACTTCCACCAAGATACGCTGCTCTTTGGAAGTCATCTTTAGCCGTGCTGCCAATACGCTGGGGTAAAGCCGTGGAGCTGCAAATGCTGAGGGACATGATGGCGGGGATCCTGCCATGTCCTCTTGAAACATAGCTCAAGCTAGTCGTGCAAAGTATGAGAAGGTACGGTAGGAGAAAATCAAGACATCAAATGCCCATGTGCGAGTTGCTTCAACATTGCGTCAGTCCAAAGAAAAGCAATCTAAAGCTCACTGGGTGAACACTTAAACGGAACTTGGCACTTGGGTCCTGTCTGCGTTGTTTTGGCCCCTCTCATCTGTGCCCCACCTCAAGGCTTTCGCGTGGGTCCCTGGAGCTCTTCAACCAGTGCAGGGTCGAGGCCCTTGTATTCGACCTCGGTCTTGGGGAAAGCAAGCTGGGCTCAGGAAGGTACAACTAGTATCAACATGTATCAACTAGTAGCTTCTGGACTTCTTGTTGCTAGTAGTAATGCCCTTGCATGAGATATGGACACAAATTGACTTGGACTTGGGACGAGCAAACCTGATGATGGAAAGCAGCTTGAAAATATGGGACCAGTTTTGGACAGTACTACTGCCCATGGCAAGTCAATCGAATCAAATTCAATATCCAACAAACTGTTTTCAATGCTGGAATTCTGTGGAATCTGTTCAAGACCTTTGCACCGCAGGCCACAACTACTCAGGCAGCAAACCAGCTGCCCCGGGCTGCAACCCACACGGCAACAAACGTTTCAGTCACAGGGGAGCCCCTTCAAATAGCTAGAAATGATTCTGACGACTCAGCTACCGTCCAAGATTATTCCTGCGGCATGCAAATCCAAGGTGCAAAGTATTGTGCAGCATCGTTAATGGATGCCTCTTTTCCTCGGGATTCAACTGGCTCAAGGACGGGTGGAAAAGCAACTTGTGAACATCTGAAAATCCCCAAGTTATGTGGTATCCAATATAGCGGTGCACACCCTGACACCCTGTCCAAGGATCTTTTCGAAGCTGTCGGAGACACATTGCCGCCGGCCTGCATCAACTCACCCGGAGCAGGACATGAGTTCTCGCTCACCGGAGGCCGGCCTCGTGGTTTCGCTCTCCCCGCCGGAGAATGGCAGCAAGGGGCCCAGGACCTGGCCAATCAGTAGCACGGTCCGCAGAACTTCAAACTGATCGGTCCATCCCCCAAAGGACTGGCAACCTCAAAACCTCAGTAGCAGTAGAGCCTTAATTGCTGAACTAACTACGGGGCTCCTCAAACGCCTTTTAGGAATGATATGGAATGAATTTGATACTACAATAATTCCGCTGTAGCCTTGCAAAGGGTTCCATTGCCTTTTTCTTGACGTGCCAAAATGGACCTTTGAGGTTGGAAGACTTGCATCCATGCTCTATGTATATAATTTAAGACTAAAAATCTGATTGATGGTCTTGAAGGAAAGTCAATTGGATAGCTGTGCGGCTCGACCTCCAACTGGTGATGCTTTCTCTCAGATGTTCCAACTGATGCGGTCCCACCTCCCTCCTCTGCCAGGCCAGAAAGGGAGTCGGCCACGGCGGATTGGGCCTACAGGCTGCCGCCGACGCAGCAGCTGGGTGTGACTCGTAGGCTACGTTGCATACGGCACATGTGACATGTGTCCATTCCACGCAAATTCACTCACTAGCTGTCACGACCTTCAATCAGCAGCGAGGAAGAACGTAAAAGAGCGTTCCTTTGCAGAAATCATTACCCTTTACAAAAAAATGACACGCTATATAACTAGGGGCAGAACGCTACGATCGGGGCTCCTGTTCCGTGTCGGATCCACCGGATCACCACGCCTCGCGCACCCAACCGGTGAGGTTCCCGAAGATTTGTTGGGCCCCGCGGACGGTGCGCGCCTGGACGGTGCGCTCGGAAAGCGAAGCAAGCGAAGCAAAGAGTCTTCAAATCCTTTTAGCAAACCAACACAAAATTGCCCAGTGAACAAGCCAATGTGCTGTTTTTTGGAAAGGATGTGGAAATGGCCAAATGATTTGAAATGTTTGAATGCCCCACCTATGATTCGAACCTGGGAAGTAATTAGATGTCTCCACTCGACTTCCTCTTGATCCGGTTCGACCACAAAGGTGATGCTGACTGCTGACGTGTTGTTTAAATCATTGGCGCTCTGGATCCCAGAGCCTCCCCTCACAGGTCATGCAAAGTTCTGTGACAACATAGCCATGGAAACGGCTGAACTCTGCACACACTTCGGCATCACCAATTCCAACAGCTTTCAACCTCCCAGTGCGTGTGATATAGGATATTGATGGATGTGGTCATTAAAAGATACAGTACTATGTCTCTTCAGCGTCGCAACGTCGCAACGGCCATGCTCCGTCTTTTCCTCGTCTCGGGGCACCGGACCGCCGTCTCCTGAATCGCTTGGGCATCAATCACCTCTATCCTGAGAGCGTCGGCGCCGGCCGGTTGAGGCGGTCGCACTATAGCGGTCTACGGTCCTGGAGCCTCGCTGCCGAGTCGTCGATTTGGGAAAAGTCTGAGTTCACAGAAGGGGTTCCGGAATTTGACCAGTCCGATGGAAGTCTCTGCTAGGGATCTGCAAGGGATCTAGGATATGATTCTTTGGGACTGTGGATGTACTAGCTCGGCCTCTAGATCTTAGATGTCCCCAACGCACGCAGCATGAGGTTGAATACGACTGTTTTGCAGTATTCGTCGTCAAGAAGTCCCTTTGAAACAACTTGGAGGTAAATTGTCTTTGGCTGGCCCATTCTATAGCCTTCGCTGGGTGAATCTTGGCAAATACATGTCCAGAATATAAATCGCTGGGGTTGCAAAATAGGGGATGCCGCCAATCACGACTCAATCGGCATATATAAGGCCCCTTTGCACGGAAGTAGGTGTTCAGATTCTCGAATACCAGCAGTTAGTTATACAGTGCCAGTTTTGCAACGACCCCCGGCCGACTGATTGTCGCTTCTCCCAGTGCCGTTGAACCGGCGGTTTTCCGTTTTCTCAGCTTCGGTTGACTTGGTTCCCCACTGCAACCCGATGCCTGCCCGGCTTAGGGACACAAGCTCCGGACCCGACTTCTCCGGTCCGACTGTGGCCCCGAGCGCGGGTCGCTCCTTTCCATCCTCATCCTTGGAGGCCTGCCAGAACACATTGACTCATTGAAAACACGCCTTAAGCAGCCAGATATGATATGAGTGTCTCTATATAAAGAGTCAAACCATGATCAAGGGAGTCGTCATTGGCCATTGCCAATGAGACTGGCACAACCTTGAAATCAAGGAACATCTTAATTCACTAATTGAGTCACTAAAAGCTGGCAAGCACTCTGACCCGTTACCAGGTTTAGGTCAGGTGGTCTTCAAACTCTTTTTGTTGCAAGTCTCTTCCAGCCATGCAGCTCACACTCGTGGGGAGCAGCATTCCGACATCCTCCGACTGCAAACACGAGGGCTAAAAGGGTCTTTCATCACTTCAGAGCTCCGAGCGATGCGGCTGCAAGATCTCCTAGGGCCGGTTTCCAATGTTCATGGGGTCCTCAGGCATTGACTGTTGGGTGACCTGGAACCCCGTGGATGGTGACACCACAAAATGCGCACCAGCTTTCAAAAGCCCCCTTTGATATAGACAAGTGAACTTCCCTTTTTCTCATTGTCTGTCCAACCTTGGGGATGTCCAAAATGGGTTCGAGCTGTTTGCTTGGTGAAGACCCCGGCCTTCCCCCATCTTCCCCAAATATCTGCGTTGATTTTGCAGATCACCCACACAGGCCATGTTTTGGAGTCACCCAGCCTGTGGTTTCCTTCAAGGATCCCAACAACTCAAGCTTGAGAAAGAAATACTATGACTATGAAATACTCCTGCCCCCATTGTCAGAGCAATCATCATGCAAATCACAAAAAGTCTCGAATCTTGCCAACGAGCATCCTAGCATCCTATCCTATTTCCCCCAAAAAGACTTAGGTTGGAGGCCATCGCTAGTAGGTTGGAGGCCATCGCTAGTAGGTTGGAGGCCGCCGCTAGTAGGTCGAGGCCATCGCTAGTAGGTTGGAGGCACCGCTAGTAGGTCGGAGATGGTCGGAGGCCATCGCTAGTAGGTTGGAGGCACCACTATAGTAGGTCGGAGGCCATCGCTAGTAGGTTGGAGGCACCCCAGGCCCATCGCAAGTAGGTTGGAGGCCATCGCTCGCTAGGTTGGAGGCCATCGCTGGTAGCTCGGAGGCCATCGCTATAGTAGGTTGGAGGCCATCGCTGGTAGGTCGGAGGCCATTGCTAGTAGGTTGGAGGCCATGCCATCGCTGGTAGGTCGGAGGCCATCGCTTGTAGGTTGGAGGCGGCCATCGCTGGCAGGTCGGAGGCCATCGCTAGTAGGTTGGAGGCCATCGCTGGTAGGTCGGAGG